ACGCGATAAATCGACTGCTGAGCACTCTCCCGTCGACTCCTGAGTCAATGGGGGAGCATCAGCCATTGACTCACCACAGTGAAGACACCGCGGTGAGTAGATCTAAGTACGTCAACTTCAGCTACGTTATTAACCCCCCCCCCCCCACCCGCCATGTAGACCAGGCCTCAGAGACACGCCGGCCCCAATGGATGTGAAAAGGATACAGTGCTTCTTGGAATGGTACATTTTCTGTCCAAGTTCTGTCCACACCTGGCTATAGTAGTGGAGCCCATTTGTAAGCTTAAATGGCAGGATATTGCATGAGACTGGACAAGTCCCCAGCAGCAAGCATTTGACAAGCTGAAGCAAATTGTCACTGGCTGGAAAATTCCAATCCCAGTTGCAAAAACTCAAAGGCAATGTCTCCTTCCATGTTTGGTTTGTGAGAGAGAACAACTCTCATTTTAACTGGACATTTTGAATTTTCGGCAGAAGTATAGGTCATCATCTGATTGGTTCATACCAGTATAATAATAATTAATGGAGATATCCCATCTCCTACAACTGGAAGGGACCCTGAAAGGTCATTGAGTCCAGCCCCCTGCCTTCGCTAGCAGGACCAAGTACTGATTTTGCCCCAGATCCCCAAGTGGCCCCCTCAAGGATTGAACTCACAACCCTGGGTTTTGCAGGCTAATGCTCAAACCACTGAGTTATCCCTCCCCCCCAAGCAGACAAACCAATTTGGACCACCCAGGAGAAATTAGATAAAACAGATTGTCTCCTTCAACACATGGCTTCTTGAAAGTCAAAGACACCAGGAAAGGAGAAGACTGAAGTCCAGGGGATAGCCACGTGAGTCTTCTTAGCGACATCAAGTACCTATCCTAGAGAAGCAACTTTGTATCCTATTTCTCAGCACTTGCTACTGCACTAGGAAGAGACTATAGTCATGTCTTCCTTTGCTCCCCCTGTGTTCGAAGTGTCATCTCCTGTTGTGAACAATAGCTGAACTGAAAGCTGACAGCTGAGCAAAGATGTGGTGATAAGTAATGAACAGATTCTCTCTTGGGTGACGAACCAACTCAATTGACCATTTCCTGAAAGTGGGTACCTAAGTAGTAAGGAAATGTATGTGCTTGTTTATGTGCTTTCAAGACTGTTACAGAGTTGGTGTGTGTCCTTGTTTTGTAATAGGCTCCAATTGTAAAATAGCTTTGAAACCACACAAATGACTGTTGTTAACTAAGATTGTGAAACACTGCACATGTCGCTAGCATAGTTAATGGTTTTATATTGTCTTTCCAGTTCTAGGTGTTCCAGTCTCTTTGTAGGAAAAAAAATCTTGTAATACCAGGTTTGTAAGCCATAGCTGTTGGTGCAGCCATCTTGGGACATAGATTGAACACCATCTGGTTTGTTCCAGTAAGCAATTTACCTCTGCATGTCACTTTCTGTGTGCCCCTCCGCAGTGAGTCCCTTGGCCAACTTTGCACGCTTGATGACTCAAGCTGTAGTTTCTCCATCAATACTCTGCTAGCTGCTGAAATGTCCAGTTTAAAATTCTTGTAGTGTATAAAAAGTCCCTCACATTCTTTGATGCACTCTTTTAAACTTGTTTTAACAATCCAATTACAAATGCATGACATGATTGTCCATAGGGGTTTGGTCTGATTGCACTATTACTGCATGGCCATAGGTGTGCTGCTGGAGGAACTGCTCAAAATGTTGGTAAGCCTCTGTTCCGTCATACACCCATAAACCAATGAAAAAAATACTTCCATCAATAATAGTCAAAATTTAAAGATATGCAAAGTAAGAAAAATGCTGCTTGATAATTTATTAGTTTGATATAAAGATACTTTCTTTGTATATTTTGATATGTGATGGTGACAAATTATGTTTTAACACTAACAATTATAAAGCTGTAATTTTTTTGAATCTCAGCATCTACTATCATTAAAGAATTATTTTTTGACCCCCTGCATTATCTGACCCCCCCAATTTCCCACAACTATAAAAGATTAAAATTAATAAAATAAATTAAAAATCCATAGTTTTTCACAACTGAGAATGTAAATTGATAAAAAATAAAAAAATGCTTATAAATAAACTGATATTTGTCAAAATTATGAAAAAATAAAAATCAAATTCTGTCAAGCCTATCCATAGTTAAGAGCGGTTTGAGTTTTGCACTTAAAGCTAGGATTCAGCTTCTTCATATATTTCTGTGTGAAAACATTTGTGAATTCTAGATTAGAAAAAAATTAATAACTTTACCCCTGATCCCATATATGCATACTAATGAAAATATCGGTGCTCACTCAAGAATACTCAGTTTTTTTAAAAATCAGGCATTTCATAGAGCTTCAGTCCTGTAATGAGTACAGATAAATAGTTAGACATTGTGGAAACAAGTTTTTGTGCAAAAGAATGTGTGTTGTGTATTTTACTTCCTTCCTTTCCCGCTCCTTTTCCCTTTCCTACATATATATACTGACTGTATGTGATACAACACAGAATGGAGAATGAAGGAACAAATTAACATCAGTTACTTACAAACTTGCATTTACCAACTGCAGGTCTGATCTTACAATTTGTGGTAAATCAAGTTGCTTGAAGTAGGGAGCTAAGACCATGACTGTCTGCTCTTCCGCTCATGCTGTCCAAGTGGAACAACAGGCAAATTTGTTGGCACACCCACGGAAAAGAAATAGTGGGTGCTCAGCACCCACTGGCAGCCCTGCGGATCAGTGCCTCCCTCTCCCCCAGAGCACCTCCCGCCCACTGGCGGCCCACATTTCTAATCTGCCAGGGGGTGCTCTCCCCCAGCTCCACCCAGGCCCTGCCCCCACTCCACCCCTTCCCCCAAGACCCCACCCCTGCCCTGCTTCTTCCCACCCCAGCTCTGCCCCTGCCCCTTCCTGCCCCCACCCTCCCTCTTCCCCACCCAGTTCAGCCCCTCCCCTGAGCACGCTGTGCCCTTGCTTCTCCCCTCTCTACCTCAGCTCCTCCTGACGCCATGAAACAGCTGATCTGCAGCAGATGATAGGCACAGGGAGGGAGGGGGAGGTGCTGATCTGTGTGGCACACCAGCAGGCAGGTGGCGCTGGGGGGAGGGAGAGGTGCTGAGAGGGGGATTGCCAGTGGGTGCTCAGCACCCACCATTTTTTCCCCATGGGTGCTGCAGTCCCAGAGCACCCACGGAGGTGGCGCCTATGCCCCAGAGCCTCTCACCAACCATGGATCAGCTGTTCAGTGGTGTGCAGGAGGCACTGGGGGTGAGGGGAAGATTGGGGGCAGGAAGAGCCAGGGTGGGGGCAGAGCAGGGGGCCGGAAGCTGTGGGATGAGTGTGGGGGCTTGGAGGAGGGGGTGGAGTGGGGATGGGGCCTGGGGCATCATGCACCCTCTGGGATCTGAATAAGTCAGTGCCTATGATCCACACCATTACCTATTTCCAGAAATAAAGGAATATGCTTTGCTCAGAAGTATCCTTAAGGAGATAGCAAGTTATGGGATGATCAAAAGAGGAGTATCCATTGAATTGTGGTTATTGGATATTTTAATGTCCAGATTTCTCCAGCTATTTACTGCTCTAACATAAAATATGTTCCAACTACAAAATTTCATATATTAATAAAAACAAGTTAATCAATATAGCAGCAGCAGTTGGCTATTGGTAAAGTTCAACACTTAATCATAATTAGGTCAGGGAAAACGGATAGATCCAACTGTAAGAAATTGTATAAATACCACAAAGTAAGTAACCAACCACCTTTAAATCATCAAATTGGTCAAGTCTGGCATTGACTTCAATTACTTCTGTTCAAGTGCACTTGAAATATCAATTAATCTTCCACACTTAGAATGTACACTTTTTCCAATTATCAAATTAAGATTTAAGCTAAATCAATGAATGCAATGATAGTTTAATTATATTTAAGCCACGTGAAATACACAATGAGGAAATGTGTTCATGCAGATAACCACCTGGGTGCTACAGACTGAACAAATTACTGAAAGTATTAGGGCTGGGTTTTTTTTTTCTAAGGGCACCAGGTGTTTCAAATGCCACCAGAAGGGTGCTCCAGGCAATGCCATGCTGTCCAAGATAGCTTGGCATAGATTAGCTGAAAGCTTTTGTGTCTCTGCAGATTTTGATTAAGAAGCAGTGTCAGAACTCCTCTGGGCTTTCCCTTGGTACAGTGTAGCTAAGGGATTTTTTAATCACAGCTGCCAAAAATATGCCAGCTACGATAATTACATTTCAATTTAAATTGGTAATTTAATGACATTTTTGAACCAGGATGTGGAGTATAATGTCATCTCGCCTCCCCACACTTACCCCACAGCAATGCTCTTTGTGTTGGAGACAATTAAAGGACCCAATCCTACAAGGTACTGTGTTGCCTTCGGCTCTCAATTAAGTCAGTGGGTGCTGAGAGTTTTGTGGTGCTCAGCACCTTGCAGGTTTGGGCCCACTGACGGCCCCTTTTCATTTTCAAGGACAGAGTCCCAAATTTAAATGGATTGGACAGCACCATTTTCATGCCCTAATGTCTGAAACATGCACCAAGCCCATCATGAAGCAGAAATATAGGACGGTCTGTTTGTTTGGGCCTCTTACCTTTAATCTGAGTCCACTGAATTTAGCTTAGTGTTCAATGTTTTATACGTCTCCAGCTACTACACTTTATATGTGCTAATGAGAAGTAGGAAACAAAATCCTACCTACTGAATCTTTTCTATTTCTTTGGAAGGGACTAGATGAACCCAAGACTTTCTGTCTGCCACTTTTTTTTCTTTTTCAGGGCATACACAGGAGCCTGGCAGTATCAGCATACTGTAGTGGAAGTCATTTTCCTTTGTTTCGAATGCAGTGTGTATGGACATTTACATAATAAAATGCTTGCACAAATAACAGATGGTGAAGAGGCACTCATTTTGCTACATGTTGGAAACACAATGCTATTCCTTGATCAACTCATTTCTCTTACTTTTGCCTACAGATGTCTTACCAGCTATTAAACCCTGGGGGTTATTCAACTGGTGAAAGGTTTGAAGACAGGCAAAAAGCTGTCTGCAGAATTTCCCTGCTTCAATCAAAAGCAAATGCTGTGCCCTGATGGGGATTCTCAATCCATCAAAAGTGGTTTTCGCTGTCAGAAAAGTAAATAATAATCCCCTCTATTTGTGACACTTGGGTTGAAATGATTCACAGTAGAGTATGATAAATACCACCATTGCACCAGGTCTTAAATACGTTTCTCTCTGGATTTTTGTTAAGAGCAGAAATCAGGAACAGAAAGAACTAACCATGTTAATGTTGATGATTAGCAATATCAATTCTCAGATAAATGCCATTAATTTTCTGTGAGAATTAAATTCCAGCAAAAGAATGTCTGTCTCATAGAATGATAGCCTTTTAGCCTGTGTACAGTACCCTCTCACTTCCAGACCATAATTAGAATTAATGGGCCTAATTCTGATCTCACACCTGTTTTACACTAGTGTAACTCCATCGTTGACTTTAGTGGAATTACTTCTAATTTACAAAGGTGTGACATCAAAATCAATCCTCTGGATGAACATGGAGGGCCATTAATATGGACTGCAAGTTAATTCTAACTGCTACTCTTTTTATTTGAATTTACATAGTGCTTTTCATTTTAAGACCTCTGAGTGCTTTACAAATATTAATTAAGCTTCCCAATGTCTCTGTGAGGTAGGTAAGTATTGATATACCCACCATTCTTTGAGTAGTACAGATGGCCAACTGATGAGAGTTAAGAAGGTCATCACCTGTGGACAGGTTATTCTGAAATTGTTGACTATGGAGTTTCTTGTACCTTCCTCTGAAGCATCTGCTAATGGCAATTGTCAGAGACAGGATACTGTATTAGATAGACAATGGGAGTTAGGCTCCTAAATCTCTTTGAGGGTCTGGGCCCATGTAATTTGACTAAGGTAGGCCAGATAGTGTAAAACATAAGAATAGAGCCAAGGACTCTTAGTCCTATACTTAACCTCTATACCATACTCCCCATCTTCCCCATGATACAGTATAAGTGTACAAATGTATAGGGATGGGTATATGCAGTATACTTTGAACTAACTTTGGGTATCTCTAGCAACTAGATACCCACGGCTGGTGCACACCATCTGACTTGAGTTTGTGGGTCTCTGGCTGCAGCACTGTTTCATTGCAGTGTAGACTTCCAGGCTTGCACTGCAGCCTGGGTTCTAGGACCCTGTGAGGTGGAAGGGTGCCACAGCTGGGGCTCCAGCTCAAGCCCAGAAGTCTACACTGCAATGAAACAGCCCAGGCCCTACAAGACCGAGTCTGTTGGCATGGGACAGCTTTTTTGTGTAGACTACTTAGGGGGGCTACTAGCTGTTGCCCTACAGAAATGTAGCCAGAAGACACACTATCTGGAGGTGACATAATCTGGTCAGGCAGTTCATATTTATTTAAAATGTCCATTTTATTTTAAGGCACTTTTGAGCAATGCATCTGAAAATAAGTGTCCTTGATCCATCTGGAAATGTGAGTCTCCAGATCCAGTCTTCAGAAAGCATCACTGAACCAATGCTTTCTCCTTGCAGGTATGCATCACGGTACATTGTTTCATTATATGACTATTAAGGCATGCGAGTATTGATCCAGCAAAGTGCTGAGTGCCTTTTGTGAGGTGCTAAGCATCTTCAGCTCCCACTGAATCCAGTGGGGGTAGCCTGTTGAAGCTACAGTTTTTTGGGAGACTTCCTGTTCCTGTTTTGCAGCAGCACTTTAAGTTAGAGACTTTTTAAGCCTTCATGCTTCCTGGCAAATGCAAGATTAGCTATGTGCCTTCACCCCTTATGGGTGGAGCTTGTAATCTTTCTCTCAGGTGGAGAGCCATGATGCATATTTTGTCACCTCTAGACTGTACTGCAGCAATGGGTTCAACGTGGACTATGACTTAAACTCATTTGAAAGCTAAAGCTGAAACCCTGACACTAACTTGGTTCATGACCCTCGGCAAGTTGCTCAAACCTTTCTGTGCCTCAGTGTCATCATCCATAAAATGGGGATGTTGTTAATAGTTATTGTTTAAATACATATTATGGTAGCACCCAGAGGCCTGGATCAGGGCCCCGTAGTTTTAGATATTGTACAGATATACTGGTAGACATGGTTCCTGAACCAAAGAAACTATAGTCTGAAAAGACAAGTGATGCACGAAGGATGCAGGGTTGAATTAGGGCATAAGCATGAATCTAGGGCCCCAGTTCCTGGAGCCAAGAGTTGGCATAAAAATCTCACACATGCAGAAAAAAGCTTGACTATGTGAGGCCAATGTAATCACTGCAGAGGTATATGCCTGAGTCTGCAGACAGCCTGAAACAATAGCTCCGTGACATATGAGCTGTTTTATTTATTTTTATGGATTGTTAAATCTGAAATACATTGTTTGGGAGGCCCCTAATAACACTACAGCTCAGGATTCTGTGTGTGTTCCACTGCCAGTACTCCATGATAGCTCCCGTGAGGTTGTGGTAGCAAGGGGTGAGGAGTGGGGTCATAGAGGGTTTTTCTACACTTCAATTAAACACCTGCAGCTGGCCCATGTCAGCTAACTTGGGATCACAGGACTTGGGCTGCGGGACCACAAAATTGCAGAGTAGACATCCAGACTTGGCTTGGAGGCCAGGCTCTGGGACCCTCCCCGCTTCAGCCTGAGCTCCAGCCTAAACCCAAAGGTCTACACAACAGTTCTACAGCCCTGCAACTCAAGCCCAAGGCAGCTGACACTGGCCACACACGAGTGTTTAACTGCAGTGTAGACATACACAGACTCATAGTTTCAGGCCAGAAGGGACCACCAGATCATCTAGAGGTGGGGCCACAGCATGGGGACAGAGCCATGGAGAGCCCCATTTTGCATGCACCTAGGGTCCTGGTTGCATTAATCTGGCCCTACAAAGATAGGGAGAGGGAGACATATAGAATGTATTATATAATATAACTTTGCAATTGAATATTTAAATAAATGATTTTTCCCAACTGCTCCTGAGCCTAACCAATAAATGTTGATTGATTTTTTTGTACATGTGATGGCAGATGTGGACCTTGAGATGAATTCTGAAGGCAAAGAATGATATCCTCCCTTGAGACCTTTGGATGAAATGCATGATGTTATGTAAGTACTAAGTATTATTTTTAATAATAATATTCAAGTGAATGAGGCAGCAGGATTTTGCTCAGAAAAAAAGATGTGCAGCAATATGACAATGAACAAAAAGAAGCTAACCCCAATGAACCTGAAAGTGAATTAAGAATCTGACTTTGTTTGTAAATAGTAACGTTAGAATTATTCATTGCAAATGATTTCTTAAACAGATTTTACCCCTCTTGTTCAGTTCATGAGTTATCTAAAAACTGATCACATTATTTACATATTTGTTTGTCGTTTGTAATTGTTTGTGAAATAGTTTTTACAAGCCTGTTTGGGATTATGGGTTTTAATGAAGTGTTTGCAGAAATAGTTCCTTCAAGTTCTGGATATTTGGAATTAGCTATTTAGGCTGTGTGACTGGTCACCTAAATCACATGGTATGCATTTTGTTCCCTGATTGGATGGCCTAACCTTTATAAACAAGACTAGTGCTTTAAGACAATCATCAGAGTATTGGCTCTCTCAGGCAGGCAGTGAGGAACATTTTAGAGAGAGAGAAACATGACAATAAGCAAGCCTAAGAAGAGTTAGAATATCTGAAATCTTTAGTACTTCTGTTTTGTCCAAAGAAGAGAATTATATCTGGCTACACAGATGAACCCAACATTATAAATAACTGAGTTCCTCCCTGCCTAAGGAAAGAGAAAAAATATAATCTAGATTTGTTGGTTACACAGTAGACTTTACATTCACTTTTCTCATCGTGTTCACACCAAGCAATTTTGTGTGGTGCATGTACAAGCAAGTTCATATTTGTGAATGCTCTGGTTAGATCATGTCCAGCTCATTTGCCTTCCTGAGTGCCAGGAATCTGGCCAAGAGTTTCAGGGAGCTGGTTTTTAACTTCCCAATCCTATATTCAACACACATCCTGTTTCATGTATTTACCAAATGCCTGAATTGAAAAAATGGCCTCCATTTTATGACATGCTATCATTCAGAACAGTGATTGCTCATACATATTTGTTCAGTACTGGATAACCATGTAGTTGCAGGACCAGATACGAGGCTCCATAACAGGGGTAGATGTGATTGTCCCCAGGCACGGATCCCTTTGCCTTGATATTTGCCCTTTGCCTTGACACTGAATACACCAAGCTCCATATTCTGGGGAGGCAACATATGCAAACTGTCTCCAGGCAAGAGGCTTTTCTGTTACCCAAACCTCCTCCCTCCTTCAAATTGTCTTCCCCCCTACTCACTGCTCCTCACAAGGAATAATCACTCAGTTATTACTTTGAAAATCACTGGATTTCTCACTCCTCCATTCTCTTCCTTCCTCCTAACACTTTTGTTTCCAAGCACACAAAACTAGTCTAATAGAGGGGTTTAACAGGGTAGCAATCTGGTCAGGAATATATACACAAATTCCTATATTCATGTGAATAAAAGAGCTCCTCCCATAAACATTTATGTGGAGGGAAAGGCGTAAGCTGAATGTTTGCACAAAAATGAATGGACAAGGATGTCAATAGGATGGGCCTGAATGGTGAATTGAAATTAGCAAGTTTGGTGGTGAGTAAATTTTACCAGTATTCACCCAGCTCAATTTATAATGAATTAACTGTGTAGGGGAGACAGGAAAAAGGAAAAGACTGACAAACTTAGGTAGGTAGAATGTTTGAATGCATAGTTTTTTGTTTTTGTTTTTTAAGGCAGCAGGGATGAACAATGTATAACATGGAATCCTGTAGAGGAAACTTTCTTGGGCAGATCTGTGGAGATAAGATTGTTGAGGAAAATAAAGCACTGCTTAAAAGCAGCCTATGATATCTGTTGGCACCAGCTAATTTGCAAGACAGGGACTAAGAACAGGTGACAGATTTAGCCTACTGTCAGTATGTATGGAAAAGGGAGGCATCTCAGCAGATTTTATCAGGCTGGAGTAAAGCAGTGAACCAGAACTAGGTCTGCTGGAGATCTGGTGATGTATTAAAAGCACTTGCAGGCATTTGTGACAAGAGAAGATTTTCCTTTTGTGAACAGCAATAGAAAGGACGAAGTCCCCCCACAGGGAATTCTTGCAATTGAAGACAACTGGGCTACAATATTGAACCTGAAAAGAAGGCTTATTTTGGCCACATGAAGTAGCTACCTCTGATCTAAAATCCGACTTCGTGTTGTGTTCAAAGAAAAATAAGAAAATGGTTATAATGTGGTTGGCATTGATCCCCTGTGAAGATACAGCTGATGTCGCTCACAAGCTAAAAAGAGAATAGCATTTCATTTTTGAAGAGGATGGAGGATGTAGTAAACTATATAGGCCTTAAAAATCCCCGCATAGCCAAAACAAAGCATTAGGAATGATGAACGCTTCCCTTTGTGAACAGTGGGAAATTGGATGATATAACAACATCCTTAGATACAACAGGGTAGATGCCACAAGGGCCAGGAAGAGACTGAATAAAGAAGCCTTTGGAGCATTGCTGCTAATGAGCATGAAAGAGAGAATAGGTATCTAAACAAGGAAGTGTAGAATGGTATAGATTTAGAATGTAGGTCAAAATAATGTGTCCTCCATGTGATCCACAAACACAGCATCCTAGCATAGTAATGGAAGTTAACCTCAAGGGCAGTACATGACGCTTGTCCTTTATCCAGTTAAACAAAGAAGCAAGTAATTGGAGAGGAGACTTCTTCGTATGTAAAAAGTTGATGGAAAGATACAATTGAGTACCATGTTAATTTCCCTTTATCCCCAGTAAACTGAGGGGTTTTGTTGTTGTTTGTTTTAAATATGTTGTAGTACTTATGGTGTCTGTGATTTAACACTTAATTGCAATTATTTCATATCTGTGCCTGTAATTGTAGAGCACCATGGGATGAAATAGAGATTGCTTTACTTAAAAGGAAAAATATTTAAAAGTTCTAACAGATCTAACTGAATCACTATTGGGATGAAGATTTAACTGAATCACTATTGGGATGAAGATTTAACTGAATCACTATTCTAAAACTTTGTTTTACATCTCTAATGAAATGAGTGTTAAGGAAATAATTTGTGTTCAGTTTAGAGTGGCACAAAGCAGAAATCACAAAATTCATAGTTTACCAATGCTTATTTGACACTTTTTTGTGTAGGTATAGGTACAGTTATTACTTCAGAATATAACACCAAGAAAAAAGTCCCATTTTAAAAAAACTGAAAACATCTGAGTAAGTCCAATGGCCTTAATGTTTATAAGACACATTTAGGTGCCTCTGATGGAAGGTGCTCCGATACAAGTGCAAAATATTATTGTTATTATTTTATTATAACCTTACAACCTTAACTTCTTACATTCAGGCTCTCACTGATTCTTTTGGTGCCATGTCTACAACATCTCAAAAATGTCTGGCCTTTCCTCTCAATCCCCACTACCTAAATGCAAGTCAACACCCCGCTATCTCTCAACTACACTACGGTATGCCATGTCTCCCTGACTCCCATCTCTTCCTTTTCTAGTTCATGCTGCAGCCAACATCGTCTTCTGGCTGCTTTGATCATGTTATCCCCTTCTTGAATTCCACCACTTGTTTTCTGTCTTCACTTTTAGGGCTCTGCACAAACTCACTGGGCCCACCTTTCTGCCCATCTCTTCCAGTACATATTTGCTTATTTATTGTGTCCTGCCTTTCCTCCTGTCTGAACGAACCTTGGTTTCCTCTCACATTTGTGCATCTCTTTCCTTCTTCCTGTGTCAGCAGCTTTCCACTTCCTGTGCACCAAGCCACCTTGCTCATTATGATCTAGTACAGGGGTCAGCAACGTTCGGCACGCGGCTCGCCAGGGTAAGCACCCTGGCGGGCTGGGCCAGTTTATTTACCTGCTGATGCGGCAGGTTCGGCTGATCGCGGCCTCCACTGGCCGCGGTTCGCCGTCCCGGGCTAATGGGGGCGGCGGGAAGCCGCAGCCAGCACATCACTCGCCCGCGCCGCTTCTTGCCGCCCCCATTGGCCCGGAACGGCGAACCACGGCCAATGAGGGCAGCGATCGACTGAACCTGCCACGTCAGCAGGTAAATAAACTGGCCCGGCCCGCCAGGGTGCTTACCCTGGCGAGCCGCGTGCCAAACGTTGCCGACCCCTGATCTAGTAGATAGGGCAGTGGACTGGGAGTCTGGAGACTTGAGTTCTGTTGTTGATTCTGCCGCTAACTTTGCACAAGTCACTTCACCTTTCTGTGTCCCTGTTTGCCCATCTATAAAAATACAGATAACAATATTTACCTTTCTTAGTAAAGTGCTTTGAGTCTGTGGATTGAAAGTGCTATGTAAAAGGTAAATATTATTTTTAGATTCCACCAAAAAAGAGACTAGAACCTGTGTCTTCTGAACAAAAAGTGCCTGTCATTTAAAGGTTTTATAAATTAAGGGCCAATTGTGCTGGCTGGAACACAGGTGCCACTGCTATTGTAATCAGGTGTTGTAAGCAATCAAGTGTACATAAGGGCAGAATTGGGCCTGGACTGTGCAATTAGCACTTTGTCAGGCCATTTTTGTGTGTGACTATTCTTGTGGTTACCCTAATTCTTAACTAAATGGATATTCACTGTACCATAATACTGATACTTGTGAAGTGGGTCCCTTGTTTTCAAAGGAATACATTTTTCAACAGCAAATGGAAATGTCTGTAGCTGTGCGTGCTGATGAGATTCCACTTCATGCTGCTATGCAAGTGTGTTCACTTTTCACCTCCTGGGTATAATATGAATGAGCTCATAAATGAAAGACCAACATCAGCAAGGTCATTATTCAGCCAATAAATAAATAAATAAATAAATAAAACCCCAGAACACCAACAACAAAAACCCTCTTAGATTCAGCATTCACTTAGTTGATTCCACTCCCAAATATAGCCAAGCAATACTATTTTAGCCCTTCATTTCTAAGTCTAGAGTCCTGCATTGATCCTTTGTAGCTATTTTAAATCCTTGAATATATGTGTAATATGGGCCTTTAAAAGTGACTTCTGGGAACTCCACT